GGGAGAGGAGTTACGGCTACCGGGATAGTCCAGTTGATTAGCGAATCGTCCCCGGGTGGACCGTATACAAGTGATCAGTCTCGGTCAGCATCCTAGGTGAATCATTTGTAGTATGAGTTTGGAATACATCAGTGATTACGGGAAAAACAATATTACCGTACCACTAAACAATAAACATATGTGTATTGTTTTTATTTCAAATGAATGTCCCATTTGTTCTGATGTTCTGCAGCTCACAACAGGATGTTGTAGAGTGAATCGATACTGGATTGAATAGAACTGTCGTAACGTACTAATTCAGTTAGTTGAGCGTGCCTAGTGATCATGATAGAGTGAATTGTTGTGAATTAATGTCACATCTGGCGATACAACCGTATTGATTGATTTATTTCAACAAAACAGGTGAAAAATACACTGGCCAATATCAACACAGTGTTCTCACTGGTGAGTATGGACAAAACAGGCCGACCGAAACGAAAGCACTCCGACCGGACAGTGAACACGTACAACAACACATTGACCGGGACCGTGATGGTGGTGCGTGTGAGCAGTAGACTAGACATTGCAGCTCCGGACACGTGCCTCGACTGAATGATTTTCGCGCGAAGTTCAGTCTCGATCAAATTGATATTTGTGGTTGTTATTTTGTTATGGTATTGTTCCATCCTTAGGTACATACATATTATTGAAAAGGTGAAACGTCAGTCTGTGTTTGGAAATTATCACAGATCAGTATGTGCTTTTCAGTTTCTCTGATCACATATACATGTTTAAGCAAAAATTGAGCGATGGTTCAGTGATGGAAACCGACTACCTACGCCTCCGGACTTGGATTGGCGAACTACATAAGGTCAGCTAGGTTACGCATGGTTAGGTGAACCGGACGACAGCAAAGTTGACCATCACCTGAGTTGGGTGGTAGTGACGGGGCTCGAACCTCGGACCACAGAGCTCAAATTATGCAGGTGACAACAACTAAACCACGGCGCCACCACCGACCATCCCGTCCCAAATTTTCGATGTTTCTTCTGTCTCCAGACCGAGTTTGCTCGAGATTACGGCTTTTTATATCAAAAATATATAGTAAATATATGATTACCGTTATTAGTATTATTATTAATAATAAAAGGAGAGTCCAAGTCGTCCTACGTAACACCTGGAACTTACTTCATGTTTTTGGTCATAGAGTGAATATGCTGCCCGGGGTGAAGTTAAAACGTGATAACCCTGTCACTTGTCTGCTGTGCCATGCCAGTGTTTATGAATAACAGCAAAATACCTCTAGACAGCTCTGCTACATTCGATTAATCACTAATGGGCACGGTGCCCCTTCCCTGTTTCGATCACAAGTAGTTGCACACTAAACTGGATTCTAAATGATCCCATGTCATAACAAACTTGGCACTGGGTAGCAGCAGATTCATATTCCACCTCAGTTGGCTGTTATGATTTCTGTGGCGCACATTCTTTAATCTTAGTATGTGGAATGCTCCAAATTTTGTTTTTCGACGATAGAGAGGATGGGGGTGTTTGGGTGAGAAGGCAAAAAGTCAAAGCATCTGAAATAACTGGTGTGTAAAGAGAATTATTATCGCGTGAATTCAAAGATAAATGAATAATTTAACTCTACAGAGGAAAGCTACTCCATGACACAGTCCAGGGGAAATGAACCAACGACCGTGTTGCTTTTTGACACAGCCGGTTAGGTTTTACTATCTGAGAAAATAGTCCAATAGCCATTTGAGTAAAGTAAATAGGCGTTCGAACTTCTCTAGGCAAAAAATAAGAGCGAAGCTAAAAGTCATGTGACCCAACACAACAACACAAAATCAACATGCAGATCTGACAGAAAATTGCATTGATTCATTGATCCGACGGAAAAAAATCGCATCTAACTTGAAATCGTTTGATTTCTAAACGAATCGTAAGGTATCATTTGGTAGAAGAATAGAGGTATTTTCACTGCTTGAGAGTAGATCTCTACATTGATTTTAGTTCTACTGAGATTAAATCAGTGGAATAAAATGATAATGAAAATTCCATTAGAATTCCTCAATTCGCGAACTGGGACAAAAGAAAAGGGCATTAGGATATCAGAAGTGAAAAATTAAATAGCTGGATCATCATATTTCCAAGTGAATAGGATAAATAAAGTCACAAACGGAATGTCGGTATTCACGTCATTGCTCTTCCAGAGATGAGATTCCTGCAGTTGTTGATGTTGACAGTATGCCGAAAAATGTCGTAAAACTTGACCAAGTCGAGGTGGTGGACAAAAAACACACTGCCAGTAGAAAAATTAGAAGATTAAGAGGAGTAAAGTAGAAAAAAAACTTGTCGATGCCAAAATGATATCCCCTTCAATCCCGAAAACCAACTAAACATCCATCAATCCAAAAGAAAATCCATTCAAAAATCCCGACATCCATACATCCCGAAATACAATCCTCCATCGCGACAGCCAAACATTGATCGAACCATTCAACCATCCATTCACCCA